TTGTTCTTGATGTTGTTATTATTTCTACTTCAATGCTATGATTACACAGGCTGCAAGCTGCTTTAGAGGCATGTTTAGGGACTGGCAAAGTTAAAGCGCTTCTGCAAGGCTCCTGCATTGCAGTGGTATAAATGCTGGCTGTGCCTGCCTGACTCACTCTGTGTGAGCATAAGGGATGAATTGTGTTTTCCAAGGAGAAGGGACTGTACACTCCCAGTTCTAGACACATTGGGAGGGGCCAAAGCCTAGATCTGAGGCTGACAAGCCACTGGAGCTATCCGTTTTTTTCAGATCTGTTCTGAGGAAAAATGCTGCCCACAGAAAGTTCACACTTCATGCCAGATTAAACACTACAGACTTATTCAATAATATAAGTTACTGACCATGGAAGAAAAAAGAATCCATCATCTTGAAATCTAGCTTTATCTGAAAGATCGAGGTGCTTTCACTAAGCCTTTTATGGCACGTACCTGGTATTCAGACTGTGATTCTAGGATTTAAATATATGCAGATAGTTTAGAATGCTATTTAAAAAAAAACTACTGAATTTTCTAGCAAAATTCAAATGTTAACAGTGAGGGATAGCAGCAAAAACACCAACTTTCCAAGTCTATTCCTTGGTGTATGTGTGTGTAGTGTAGGATGTGAAAGGCTATTCAAGGTCTGCTCCAATGGGGAATGATGAAGCTGTGCTTAGAATATCAGCCACCATCTTTCTTCGACACTGTCATATCTGACAGAACCACAGAAACACATTTTCTTTAATTCCCTGTTTTTCATGGTTTTCTCAAGCTGGTTAGGAAAAAAGAAGCCTGCAGGAGTATTTTCCTTTATTTTTTTTTTGAGAAATTCTTGCTCTGTCAAAAGGCTGGAGTGCAGTGGTGTGATCCTAGCTCACTGAAACTTCCGCCTCCTGGGTTCAAGTGATTCTTGTGCCTCAGCCTCCCAAGAAGCTGGAACTACAACTACAGTCATCCACCACCATGCCTGGCTAATTTTTGTATTTTTAGTAGAGACAGGGTTTTGCCATGTTGGCGAGGCTGGTCTCTAACTTCTGGCCTCAAGTGATCCACCTTGCCTTGGCCTCCCAAAGTGTTGGGATTACAGGTGTGAGCCACTATGCCTCGCCCATGCAGGAGTATTTTCAAATCTGAAATGCAAACCTGCACAGCTGGTGGATGGTGGGAGAAGTTAGTAGCCACAACAGGCTTAGGGGCCAAAACTATGAATCAGTGTGTTTGGGAGGAGAAAGAATTAATAAAAAGTAGCAGGTAATCATTATAGAAGGTCATATGTGTCAAAGACTATATTAATGATTTTAAATGCATTTATCATTTAATGCTCACCAAAGCTATACAAAGGAAGTACTATAGGAACACCTTTATCCATTTATTCACAACATTCCATGGATGAGGAAATTGAGTTTTACAGAGTTTAAGTGACTTGTTCAAGGCCACACAACTCCTAAATGATGAAGGTTTGATCTCATCCCAGCAAGTGTGACTCCAGAACTGGTAATCCTAACCATTAATTAATCAGAAAGACAAAAAATTAGGGCTCCTGTAAGAACTTCAGAGACTAATGATGGTTTAATATCATGACCATCTTATCAGTTCACCCGGTCATCTGCACCTTCTAGCAGGGTCACCACTAGCCACAGGAGGCTACTGAAATTTAAATGAATTAAAATTAAATAAAATTTAAACTTCAGGCCATTGCTCTTGAGTACTTAAAATGTGACTAGTGCAACTAATGGCCTGAAATTTTAATTCCATTTAATTTTAATTCATTTAAATTTCCACAGCCCCATATGGCTGCCATATTAGACAGTGTTGATCTCAGGAGTTTTTTTTCCCTCAGTTTTATCAGACATGGTCAGGGTTGCTTCCTAAAAATCTGAGGCAAAGGGGCATTAGTTGCTTTGCCCAAGGATCCTAGAAAATCACGAGAGTAAATCTCCCATGATGTCTTCTTTAGGAATGGAAACTGCGTCCACTCCCTCCTTAGGAATGGAAACTCAGTGTCTTCCTCACTTGCTCTTTCCAACATTCCTCAACTTCTAGCCCTCCTGATTTCCTCATGAGCCACAAGGTGAGGATGATATAGTCAGAGCAGACACATCTCCCCTCAGACAATGGTGCACATCAGCCTCAGCAGAGATCTGCTTAACATGCAGATTCCTGGGCCCCACCTCTGTAGAGTTCTGATACAAGCGGTTAGGGGGAGGCCCAGGAGCCTATGTTTGAATCAAGCACCCCCATGATTCTAATGCAGGTGGTCTAGCTTTCAGAAACTCTGCTTCAGAGGCTGAAGTATATATTTATCTGCTGTCCTCTTAAATAATTATAGCACATAAATCTTTCGAGAATAACATAACCTGGGCTGGAAGCCAGGCAGTCATCACTCTGCACTAATTGCTCACTTCTAAGACATGAGGCAAGGCGCTTAGTCACCAAGGCCTCATTTTTTTTTTTTTTTTTTTCCATCTGAAACATGGGGATGAGGATATCTACTCTTTGTTCTGGGACAAATAGGAACACAGATGTGGACATATTTGAGGAGGATAGAAAGTAAAACCCACTGCATGGACAAGCTACAATTCAGAACCTCGTTTTGTTTGTCCAGCAGAGTTGAAATAGATTTCATATTTTAAAAAGTCCACATTTTAACTTCTCTGGAAAAATTGGAAGATCTGACAGGATGGGGTTCATATTAGATTGGCAGCCTGGCGTGATCAAGAGCAAGGTTCTGGAATCATATGCACAGGTTCAAATCCCTGCTCTACCACTCTACAAGCTGAGTGACTTTGGGTGAGTCCCTCAATCTCTCCATTTCTCAGTTTCTTCAACTCTGAAATGAGAATCATAACAATATTCCTCCCTCACAGTGTTATGACAATGTAATTAAGCAAGCTAATATTTATAACGTGCTTAGAACAATGTTTGACACATTGCAAGAGCTATATAAGGGTTAGGTGGATACATAAATATCCCAGCACATGGCAACAAGCAGCTGGAGCTGAGCAGTGGTTGTCCCCTTCAAATGGGGCTAACATTATCACTGTCTCTATCCAGACACCATCGACTACGGAATCCTTGCTATAAGGGGCAAATGTATGTCTCCCTCCTCTGGTACCTTGCCCACAAAGGGGCAGATATACTTAGAGCATCTTGGAGCACTACTCTTCTCAAGCTGTCAGTGGTGAAGGACCAGTTTCTTTTTATTTTCAATCCCTTGTGGACTGACATATGGCCCCGATGAGCATGTCTGAGACACAGCACAAAGCACAAAGAGCTCAGTATGTGAGTTCTATAACACCCTGATTGGTCTATACTCTCATTAATAAGACAAGCCTGCTGAACACGCACTTGGATGTCACCGCAACATTGAACATGTTCGATGTTTCTAAACACTTTTAGTTTCTAAACACTAAAACTCTAAAGAGTTTCTAAACACTTTTAGTTTCAGTACTAATCTCGCTGCTGATGGGTGATAGTTCTCAGCGAGTGTTATCCTCAGATTCTGCTTTAAGTAGCACCATCACAGAGAAAATCTATAGTACTCTATTTTTTTCCCACATTTAAAAATATTTTTAAAATAATATTTAAAATATTAAATAAATAATACTAAAAAAATTTTTTTTAGAGACAGGTTGTCACTCTGCTGCCCAGGCTGGAGTGCGGAGGTGGGATCATTGCTTAGTGCAGCCTCAACCTCCTGGGCTCAAGTGATCCTTCTGCTTTAGTCTCCTAAGTAGCTGGGACTATGATCATGTGCCACCAAGTCTAGCTAATTTTTATATATATATAAAAAACATACTTGTGTATATTTTATCATATATATTAATTATATATTGCATATATATAATATATATGCAATAGGTTCAGAACAGTCTCAGAAGCTGTCATGGATGCTTTGGTGCCCCAAGCAGCACCAGGTTGGGGCAACTGGGCTCCAGGTGCTCTGAGTACTACCATCAGCTCATAGCTACACCTTCTCCACCTTCACATGGTACGAGGGGCAAACAAGTTCCCTTGGGCCTCTTCTATAACGGCATTAATCCCATGTATGAGGTCTCCACTCTCACGACATAGTCGTCTCCCAAAAGGCCGCATCTCCTAATGCCATCACCTTGGGATTTAGGATCTTAACTTAGGAATTTTGGGGAAAACACTCAGACCATAGCATTCTCTTTCTTTAATGCTGCCTTTGGCCAACAGGAGCTGCCTTGCCCTGAGCCCACATCCACAGTCTCATCCCCTTGTTACTCCTCAGCAGCCCAAAGCTGATGACCAACCGACATGATGGTACAAAACATCAGCCCCTTTGTCATAAGCAGCAATTGGCTCTATAGTGCAACTCATCTATCAGAGTCCCCTGTGGGATCAGGCAGAAGCCAGACCCCAGTGGAGACACCATTCCTCACTTGGCTCCTCCCCATGCCCCATCCTACTTCTCTCACCCTCCTTCTCCTGGGAGCACTCCCTCAATACATCACAGGCATCTGGACCCGTCTCAGGTTTTGTTTACAGGGAAGCCCATCAAAGACAGAAGCCATCCCAAACTTGGGTTTACCTTCCTCAGCAGCCTATTGGAAGAGGGCACATGGCAGAAACAACATTAAAATCCCGAGGACCAGGCCGGGCGTGGTGGCTCATGCCTGTTATCCCAGCACTTTGGGAGGTCGAGGCGGGTGGATCATGAGGTCAGGAGATCGAGACCATCCTGGCTAACATGGTGAAACCCCATGTCTACTCAAAATACAAGAAATTAGCCAGGCATGGTGGTGGGAGCCTGTAGTCCCAGCTACTTGGGAGGCTGAGGAAGGAGAATGGCATGAATCCAGGAGGCGGAGCTTACAGTGAGCCAAGATTGCACCACTGCACTCCAGCCTGGGCAACAGAGTGAGATTCCATTTCAAAAAACAAATTCTGAGGACCAGCATCCAGTTACCTAGAGATTAACCCTTGCTATCTGTTTTCGAGGTGAACAGAACCTACCTGTTGCATTAGACAGAGCCAGGGATTCCATGGAGCCCCGAGGGGTCTGCTCTGTGGGCGTCATGTCCTCTGTGTATTTCAGGGAACTGATTGGATGACGGGTCCGACACTGCTGAGTGGACATGCCCCCTTCCTCCTCCTCTTCCTCCTCATATTTGGGGACTTGGATGCTGCCTCGGGTCTCACTGAAACTCTGACTAGACATATCACTGTAGCTCTCCTGAGATCTCAGCCTCCCTGGGTAATAGTCTTCTCGGCATTCTTTGATGAAGCTGCCAGCATGTCCTGTCATGGCCAGTGACGAGCTCCTTTTAGGGTTGCTGAAGTGCTTGCCCCACATTTCGGGCTGGGCCCCAGCCCCTTGCCCTCCTGGACTGTAGGAAGTTCTGATGTTGCACTGGCTGAGGAGCTGCAGAGGGCTCTGAGACTGGTTCTGCTCCATCTTGTTCCCATAATGGTAGGGCTCTTCCCGGCTCCTCCAGATGGGGTCCCGGTTGAGACTGGGCGTCTGGCTGGACAGGCTGAGCATGTCCATTTGCAGTGACAGGGGATCTACATCGGCTGACAGCCGGTTGGAACTCACTTGCAGCTGGCTGTGCTGGTTCAGCATGGGCTCCTCCGTCTTGCCCTTGTTCTTGCCAATTTTGGCACTGCGCCGGGACTCCTTGGCCCTGGCGTTCTGGAAGGCGGAATCGGAGGAGTCAGAACCATTGGGGTCTTCCCCAGCACTGCAGGCCCGTGAGCAGAATATCTGGCCCTGCTTCGGGAGGAATGGCCGCCCCAGGAGGGATTTCTTGCAGTGAGCACAGCAGAAACAGGTCTCAGTGGCATGCCAATGTTGGCCGTCATAGGTCATTTGACCTTGGTCGATGCCTAAAATAATGAGAGACATTGGAGAGGCTGATGAGCTGCTCAGAGCCCTGCACTGGGACATGAAACACACTGCACCTTGGTTTGTCTTAGGATTCCAGGTGCGGCAGAATAAATTAATAAGTCAACAATCAGACTCCTATGTAAATGGTATTCATGTCCTATTACGAGAACTCCTTATTGTACCAGTATGCACCTTAACTCATTTGCTCCAAGCACAAAGACTCGAGGTTAAAATGACTTGTCTATGGATCCTTCTGCCTGGGACACATTTCCCCCTGACAAATAGCAATAGTAATACTAACATATGATCATGCCCTGCTTTAACAGCTTTATATATGTAAACTCATTTAATCACTCAACTCCTTGGGCTAGCTTTCTAATATTATTTGCAGTTTTCACATGAGAAAACAGAGGCAGATGAGGCTAAGTAACTTGCGTAGGGTAACACAACTAGGAACCAGAGACAAGATCTGTATCCAGGAAGTTTTATTCTCAACCATGACATTGATACTATCTCCTTCACTCTAGGTAGGCATCTGCTCAAAAGCCAACTCCTCTGAGAAGTCTTCCTGTCCACACTAATAGTGATTCTCCATTGCTCTCCACACTTACCTCCTGGAGTTTTCTTGATAGCATTAATACTGCTTTACATTTCAACAGTCTATATATGCATCTATTTATTATTTCTCTCCCCTGCTAAAAGTGAAGCTCTATGAGGACAGACTCATTAAGTTTCAACAACATCTCCAGGACCTGGAACATGGCTGGTGTATGACAGGGCTGTTTGCGTACAGATAGATTGAGTGAATCCTATTACTAGCATATGCTATTCCGATGGGTAAGTCATAGCAGCAACTCAGCGGATGCGATGGTGAATGTTTTCTCCAAAACTCCTAAGTTGAAATCCTAAATCCTAAAGTGATGGCTTTAGGAGATGGGGCTTTTTGGGAGGTCACGAGGTCATGAGAGTAGAGACCTCATGAATGAGATTAGTGCCCTTATAAAAGAAGGCCAAGGGAGCTCATTTGCCCCTTCCACCATACGAGGACTCTGCCAGAAGGCATCATCCAGGAAACAGAAAACAGGCCCTCAGCAGACACTGCATTTGCTGATGCCTTGAGTTTGAACTTCCCAGCCTTCAGGACTGTCAGCAATACATTTCTGTTTCTCAGGAGCCACCCAGTCTGTGCTATTCTGTTAAAGCAGTCTCAATGGACTTAGTGGGAGATAAAAATGTGGATTTCAACTCTTGTTAAGGAAAAATCTGCTTTTGGTAAAGAGAAACCTAGACATGGTATTGCCAAAGCTATTGCCCCTGTGGGAGCATGCGTACCCTTTGCTTAATTTCATCAGGAAAGGAAGAGGTACAGTTCCTCGCTGTGACAGGACTGTGCCAGGTTTATACAGCCTGGCCACACTGCTTACTAAGGGAGCCTCCCACAGCCTCGGGTGTTCTGCCTTCTCATCGTCTCTGCCCTCTTCTGGCTATAGGACTTCATCTCCCTGTGAGACACCATTTCCTGCCATCTTCAGGCCGTGAGCTTTGGGTGGGGCAAAAGCTGACCTGCGGCCCAACATAGGCCAGCAAAAAAAAAAAAAAATCAGCTTTCCTGGCACCCAGGGACTGATTCAGGGGTGGGCAAGGGACCTGTACTAAGCCAACACCTCCCATTGCTTTTTCTAAGGCAGGACTTTTGCTAAGGTAGTCACACAGCAGGCTCTTTTTATAGCAGTTGTTAAACTGGCAGAATGGAAGCTGGTCACTGCTGGGGCCCCTTCCTGTGGGGAGAGCCTGCTGGGAACACAGCCTCAAGCTATGACTGTAGGGTGGACCAGGACCCTTGCAGTCTCCTGATACATAATGATACACGGCTTCCCAGAAACAAGGACTAACGTGACCTTCGTCTTCCGTGGCTGAGAGTTCCTGAGCCTGGACTTTCAAGGAAGAACTTCTGGAGACTTGTCTAAAGAGGCGGTGAACATGAAATTAGGGAGAAGAAGAGAATTGCAAGAACAAAAGGCCACCGGCCCAAGCAGCCTGTCTTTCTCCTCCACTGTCTATCCCCTCACTTTTGTGTTTATGGAGCCCAGGGAGAGAGACATGAGGGCAATTCTTCTCTTATTAGCTCTTTCCCAAACTACAGGGTTCTCTTTTCGTTTTGGAACCTGGCCTTAGAGACTAAGAGGGGATTTTTTTTTTTTTTTTTTTTTTTTACAGGGATAGGGCAGCTACAAGGGTCACCCCAAGTGGGAGAGAGGGAACTGTGTGAATCAAGTGAATCAACTCCATCTCTCTTTTTTTTTGAGACAGATCAACTCCATCTCTTACAGCAGCAGTGCTCCCCGGTAGCGTGAGAAAGAACCAGCTGGGACGGGGCTAGAAACAGACAACCCCAAGCTCTGTGGATACTTCCTCCCCAGGCCCTTGGGAGAAAGCCAAGGCAGACATCACAGGGACATAGGACTCTGTAGTAGTTAAGCATAAGGCTCCAGGACCCTGACAAACACAGGTTCAAATCCCAGCTCCATCCCATTGCAGCTGGTTGTAAAGATGCTGAAGGCCATCTGCTGGGGTTCAAATCTTGAGTCTATTGCATTCCAGCTGTGCGACCCTAGGCAAATAGCTTCATCTCTCTGTTTTTGTCTCCCCTTCAGTACAAGGGGGATAATCATAGTACTTGGTAACTGAGTTAATATGCACGGAGTGCTGAGAACTGGGCCTACTGACCAATCTTCTTTCATTTGCATTAGGACTGAAAGCCTGCCTCTCTCTTTGCTGAGGGTCACTGGCCAGATGCAGTCCAAGAAAGAACGATGAGGCTGCTCTGTCTCTCCTCCCCTCTCCCACCCTCCTTTTTCTCCTCCTTCTCACTCCCTTTCTCAAATGCCTAGAGTGCAGAGAGCTCATGATGGCATCCCTGGGTCCTTTGGTGAGCTCTAATCAGCACAGCATCCAGAGCAGCTGCGGCTATCCCCACTCCCTGTTAGAGGTACACAGGAAGTCCAGTCCCTCTGGCCCGTCTGCCACCAGCTGCTTCTCCATGCTTTGGCAAGGAGACATGCTCAGATGCAGCAGCAAGGGCCTAGTTCCTGGGGATGGGGGCCTCCTGGAAGGATGTGCTTGGGTTGGGAGAGTGGAGGGGAGGTATATCATAAAGCGGCCTGGCAGGCAGCAGAACGTGGTCCCCGATAAACATCGATGTCAGATGGTCCTCTGAACTGCTCCTGAACTCTAAGCATCTGGAAAAGGGCTCTGCTGTTCAGCATCTAAGCGTTCCTTTTTTATTCCTTCTCTAAGCCCTTTAAGCACTTCTTGGAGGATGTGTGTGTCTACGGCTGCCACAGCCTTGGTCTGTTTATAGGACTGTTTACTCTGCTGTGCACAGGCAAAAGTACCGTTGCCCTAGCAACGGCTGCCTGACACAGGGCCTGCTCTGAGTGGCTGTATAAATATGGAATATTTGTACGGTATGGTCAGAGGTAAAGCACCCAGTGACTGAAGTGTGCGTGCTGTAAAGAGTGTGCTCTTTCGCTGTCACAGGAAAATTATGTTTGATAGAAAAGTGGATTTAAAACAAACATTAGGGACAGCATTTTAACTATAGCAGCAGTAATACTGCAGGCCACCATGGTCCCCTTTTCTGACAAAACACGGACACCTTTTTATGGATTTAATAGGAAAGGAGGAGGGAACTCCAATAAATGTGCTGGGCAGCCAAAGGGAGACAGTAAGAGAAGAAAACCGAGGGGCCATCGGAGGTGTACATGCTGCAGCAACAGAGAGATTTTTCTCTCTGCCAAGTACTGAGCAAAAATTCTAAGCGGCAGTTTCTGGAGAGGCTCTTAGCCTCCAAGGACAGAAACAGAAAAAAACAGAAATATGGATGGGAAGGGGCACCGTTGTCATGGACTGGTATTCTGCACACATGGCCCCTCTCACCTGAGCAAGTGTGCACTTGCAGACTTGAATTCTCGGTTGGGCAATACTGGGTCAAGACATTGCACCATTTTCCATGATACTGTCCCACCTGTCCCCTTCTTCACACGTCTTGCCACTTCTCACAATTGATCTTTGCATTTCCTAACTCTTAGCAAAAAGAAGGTTTATCTGTTTGATCACTTTGATCTTGTGAGACATGAAAGCTCCTGGGTACTGAGTCCAGGCAACAGGCTGTGAGAGGGGTGAGGATTTTAGGGGTTAGGGGATGGGGAATTTGCCATCACCCAAGCCCCCAGAAGGAAATGCTGCTGACAAAGGTCTTCACAGCAGAGCTTAAGCCTGGCCTGAGTATATGGGACAAGAATGCCTAATGACAAAGCACTGTTGAGCACACGGTGGGTGTCTTGTCCACAAAGCCAGGGTTTTTATCAATACACAGAGCTCTCCAAATACTAGCTAATTTTCTATTTGAATACATCACTTCTTATGAGCCAGGAAGACAAAGCCACTTTTTGTGGTCCTAATAAAACCTTTTAAGTGGGGCAAAATGGGCTCCAAAATGGATTATCTCTATATCTCCTCACTCTAGGTAAGAAACAGGCAGCTTCTAAACAGACTTCTTGGGATTGTACAAGCCACTGGACGATCTGGCTGTGATCTCACAGACATTCAGCCACTGCCAATGTTTTATTTCCCCCCAAGGTTGGCTCCTTCCCAAGGTGCCAGAAAAGGCAACTTGAATGAATAAGCCACAATGCAGTACGATCTGGAATAGTCTTGAAGGGTTGAACAAATTGGTTATTTGCAGAGGGAAAATGATTTTCACCATCTCAGATCTGCCACTTGTTGGGGGAGTTAATAGTTTATGGACTATTTGAGGTTCATTTGCTTTGCATTTGGCTGGAATAGCTTTTATTTATTTATTTTTTTAAAGACATATTTGCCAAAAGCCACTGGGTTTCCTTGACTATCCCTCCCTACCAAGAGGACCACTTTGGTTCCTCCCTCTGCAAATCCCCATCTTGTCCCAAGGAGGCTATGGAAAATATCTGTTTAGATTTTCCTTCTGAGCTTCCCCCACTGCCCTGACCCTCAGTTGTGGGACTGTATGGCACATAGTCCCACCTTGGAGGTGGGCCCTTGACCAAAGCAAGGCTGATAAGATTCTTATTTGGAAGAACTGACCTGCAAGCTGGCAAAGACATAGTTCTTCTCCTTTTGAGAATGCAAATACTAAGTCTAGTATCACTAGTGAGTCATCTCGACCGTTAGGTGAAGATAGCTTCCCTCAAATGATGTTAACAGAAGGCAAATTAAGCTGAGATACAGAGAAAAAAATCGGTTTTGTCTGAACCCTTGATCCACCCCTACCTGAAGCCAGTATACTCTTTGGCCTTTCTAGTGTTGTGAATCAAGAAATTCCCTTTTTCAGTTAAGTTACCATGAGTTGGGTTTCTATCACTTGCAATCAAAGATATTTTAACTACACCCAAAACAAAGGTGACCTCATCACAGAAGGACAAAGCCAACTGCCAAGTATTGCCTCACCTATATGTTGGGCACAGGTGTCACAATATTCTGCATACAAGGACTCGAAGCAGTGGCAACAGTAGGGTCTTCCCTCCTTCATGATGTAGCGCTGGCCGCCCAGCACTGTCTCACACTCGAAGCAGCAAAAGTGTTTCATGTGCCAGTGTCGCCCCTCGGCTTCTGTGCATTCATCTGCGAAGATGATCTGGAGATGGGGAAGCCAAATGGTCAGTATGTGAGACCCATCCAGAAGGACACACTTTAAAGGAAGAAAGCTATGGGGACCCTGAACTATAAGGGTAAGAAAGCAGATCCCACTCACAAATAATTAAATAAAAATCCATATGTATATGTTTATTCTGTATGTATATCAGTTCCTATATATGGATTTACCTAAAGCATAATTAAACATGATTTCTGGCCTAGCCAGTAATTAACTTGACCACATTTAATAAGAGAAGGAATGTTCCACCCTGGAGAACATAAGGCAGGATCAAAAACTGACAGCTCACAGGCACATTGGACATATATATCTGCTTCATTTGGTCTGGACACATTATTTTTTTAAATAGAAAATATCATATTAACACTTGGAATCCTGGTTTCTCTTTTGAAAACACAACATTTGCAATGCTCAGTGCACATTCCTACATGGCAATAATAAACTAGAGCTAAGAAGAGAGGCTGCTGCTTTCTAATGAGTGGCAAGTTCTCCAGTTTGTCATATTCTTCACCCTTCCCTATTGCCTTAAATAAGTCACCTTCATTTACAACACCTGCCAGGCCCTCGCAAGCATTTGCATTTTCCCCCAATATAGAGTTTTTAAAATTTCAAAGCACAGATTTCAAAATTTACTATAAAGCTACAGTAATCAGGCCAGCATGGCACTGGCATAAGGCTGGGCATATAGATGAACAGGTATCCAGATTTAAACTCATACATATATGGTCAATTAATTGTTGAAAAGGGGGCCAAGACCATTCCATGGGGAAAAGAATAGTCTTCTCAACAAACGGAGCTGGGACAACAGGAGAGCCTCATGTAAAATAATGAATTAAAACCCCTACCTCACATCATACATAAAAATTAACTCAAGGCTGGGTGTGGTGACTCACGCCTGGTAATCCCAGCATTTTGGGAGGCTGAGGCAGGTGGATCACGAGGTCAGGAGATCGAGACCATCCTGGCTAACATGGTGAAACCCTGTCTCTATTAAAAACACAAAAAAATAGCCGGGTGTGGTGGCAGGTGCTTGTAGTCCCAGCTACTTGGGAGGTTGACACAGGAGAATGGCGTGAACCTAGGAGGTGGAGCTTGCAGTGAGCCGAGATCGCACCACTGCACTCCAGCCTGGGTGACAGAGTAAAACTCCATCTCAAAGAAAAACAGAAAAATTAACTCAAAGGGATTAAAGAGCTAGGGGCAGAAAAACAATAAAATGCTTAGAAGAAAACACAGGTGTAAATTTTTATGACCCTGAAAAGCAATGGTTTCTTAGATATGATGCTAAAAGCATAAACAACAAAAAATAAAGTAGACTTCATCAAAATTAAAAACTTTATGCTTCAAAGGACATCATTGAGTAAGTGAAAATACAGCTATAGAATGGGAGAAAATATTTGCCAATCATCTGATAAGGGACTAGTATACAGAATATATACAAATCACTCTTACAACTCAATAATAAAGAGAAAAATAGGCCGGGTACAGTGGCTCACACCTGTAATCCCAGTGCTTTGAGAGGCTGAGGTGGGTGGATTACATGAGGCCAGAAGTTTGAGACCAGCCTCGCCAACATGGTGAAATGCCATCTCTACTAAAAATACAAAAATTAGTTAGGCATGGTGGTGCATGCCTTTAATCCCAGCTACTCAGGAGGTTCAGTCAGGAGAATTGCTTGAACCTGGGAGGTGGAGGCTGCAACGAGCCAAGATCATGTCACTGCACTCCAGCCTGGGTGACAGAGTGAGACTCTGTCTTTAAAAAAAAAAAGAGAGAGAGAAAAATAACCCAATTGAAAAGGTTGTCAAAAAAATTTAAATTAATTTTTCAGACATTTCTCTGAAAAAGAAGATACACAAATACCTAATAAACACATGAAAAGATGCTCAACATTATTAGCTGTTGGGGAAATGTGAATTGAATCAAAACCTCAATGTGATACTACTTCATACCCATTATGATAGCTATAATGAAAAAAAAACAGATAATAACAAGTATTAGTGAGAAAGTGGACAAACTGGAATCCTCATTCACTGATAGCAGGAATGTAAAATGTTATACTTGTTTTGGAAGACAATTTGGCATTCTCTCAAAAGATTAAACTTAGAATTATCATATGACCCAGCAATTCCATTCCTGGATATACACTCAAGAGAACTAAAAATATATGTACACAAAAAACTTGTACATAAATGTTCATAGCAGCATTGTTTAGAGTAGCCAGAAAGTGGAAACAACTTAAATGTCCATCAATTGATACATGGCTAGACAAAATGTGATATATTCATACAACTGAATATTATTCAGCCATGAAAAGGAATGAAGTACTTTCATATACTACAATATGGATTAACATTGGAAACATGCTAAATGAAAGAAACCAGACTTGAAAGGTCACATATGATTTCACTTACATGAAATGTCCAGAACATGTAAATCCACAGAGACAGAGATAGATTAATAGTTGCCAGAGGCTAGGGAAAGGGGAAATGAGGAGTGACTGCTAATGGACACAGAGTTTCTCTTTGGTTGACGAAAATGGTCTGGAATCAGCAGTGATGGTTGCACAGCTTTGTGAATACACTAAAATCTACAGAATTATTTACTTTAAAAGGGTCCTTAATGCTATGCAAACTATATCTCAATAAACAAATTTCAAAGTGTGTGCTTCAATCATATTCTAATTGTCATTAGACAACACAAAGTTGTATTCTGAGCACTAATTTTCAGATGTGGAAACTGAGGCATGAAGGTAAAAAGGTGTCCTAGAACCACAGAGTTGGACCTGAATTTAGTTTTCCAGCTATCTTTCTAGAAGGTCTCTCTACAACATCACCATTAGTGTTAGAATCCAAATTAGTTAAGTCTGATCAGCTTCCTCCTAGAAAGTGAGTCCCCTGTAGGTAGTTTCTTTTTTTTTTTTTTTTTTTTTTTTGAGATGGAGTCTCGCTCTGTCGCCCAGGCTGGAGTGCGGTGGCGCAATCTCCACTCACTGCAAGCTCCGCCTCCCGGGTTCACGCCATTCTCCTGCCTCAGCCTCCCGTGTGGCTGGGACTACAGACGCCCGCCACCGCGCCCGGCTAATTTTTGTATTTTTAGTAGAGACGGGGTTTCACCGTGTTAGTCAGGATGGTCTCGATCTCCTGACCTCGTGATCCGCCCATCTCGGCCTCCCAAAGTGCTGGGATTACAGGCGTGAGCCACCGCGCCCGGCCTGTAGGTAGTTTCTAAGAAAGAAATGCCCATGTAACACTAGGTTCTCTGGCTGAAAAAGGGGAGTGTTACTCACCTCCCACACTGCCATTTACAGGGAAAGATAGATGCAAAAAAATCCTTTGCACAGGAGGAAACCTCTGTCTAGGACGTTTATCCAAATTATTCCCATAAAAGTGGTCAGATTTAGAAAGTTCTTATTTCTGCTCCCAACTTATAAAGCTAAACCAGGTTTTCTATTCTGTCAGTTTACACGGTAGTGTGTGCTTCTAGTAGGGAAAGAAGGCCAGGCAGAGGCTTGCATTCTATCCTGCTTTCTTAAGTAGGGTACTTCTTAGAGCATGGAGCAGAGATATCCAAATGAAGTATCCACCTGCCTCCTGAATTTTCATTCAGAACTTTTAGAAACTGTAGAAAAATCAAATAATGCTACCCATTTTCTTCTCTTTTCTAATCATTTTGCAGCACTGGATCTTGGAAAATGGAACTCCATTACTGATTATTCCATGAGATTAGGGTTAATATCTAAAGATGCACAATGCAATTTTGTTTTGTTTTGTTTTTAGAGTTCTGAATTTACTTAGGGCCAGTTATATGTCACTTGGGGATCTTCACGGATATACAAACTGCCTTCCCAACAGGAGGCTATGAGACCTCCACACTCAGTAAAGCAGGCCACAACCCCAGACATTCCAGTAACTGGGGATGGGTGGGGCTTCTCTCCCAAAAGGGTTAATGCAAAAGAATGAAGTTGCCTATGGCTTTCTTCAGTGCAGAAAGCCAGAAGACCATGTGTTGGCTATGGTGCAATGAAGGGGTGATGGGCAGGTAAACCTGCTGGAGTTTGCTCTAACCTCATCGCAGGCTGCACAGCGCGGCTTCAGGCACTCAGCATGGTGCCTGCCACAGTATATCTTCCCATCTTGGTAAAAGTAGATCAGATCCACCAGGAGCTCATTGCAGACAGTGCATACGAAGCACGGCGGGTGCCAGCAAACGCCATGGCCAGCGCGTGACGCAAACACAGCGATGTCTCCACCATTGATCTGGCCTCCACACTGCGAGGCAAACAGAAACGTCAGTAGTCACACCAGCCCCCATCTCCCAGTGCTGTGCATAAACGATAAAGGACAACCACCATTAGCTGGCTACTGAGTGCTTACGTTCAAAGCAGTCACTATGCTTCCTGCTTTACATAGGCAGCAGGGCAGGTTTTTCTTGTCCTCCCTGAACTCTCCTTTCCTAAGGCTTACAAATAATATAGAGATAAAGTCACTGGGAGAATGAGGAATCACAAAGATGGGAAAGAAAGAAAAGCTCGTTTAGCACAATAATGTACAGGGGTTCTGCAGGCAGGAGGCAAACTGACACAGAGGAAAACCTCATTATCTTTCAGATACTTTCAACTCCACGTAGAGACACAGCCAGGTTTAACACCAGGAGGAGTGGCTGGGGAGGGGCGTGGGTGGCAGGACGGGCTTGGAGGAGGTGGGCCTATACTTTTAGATGGGAGGGAGGGTGGGTACATAATAGCACGCTCACCCTTAACTACCTTCTCTGTGTGCCTTTCAGACATGCTTTTAGCCTGCTTCCTCTAACATCTTTCTACCCAGTCTTGATTGACATGGCACCACTTCTAAGGTCAAACTAGGAAAGGATTTCTTCCTATCCCTTCCCTACCTTCTCACTCATTTTCTCAAGCTGCCTCTTGATCCTGAAAGAAACAAGGCAGAATCACTGGCCACCTATGCTTATAGTTGGGGTTGGGACAAAAAGAATATGATCTGAAGGTCTCTGAGGGAAGAATAAAGTGTGGAAAGTGGGTCTAGGGAGATGCTCTTGCTGACCATGGCATGGGCCATGAGGTTCACAGGTTGAGTCTAATACTAGAGTCCTACAAGAGTGGCTGAGCTAAGGGGACAATGTCTAAAGAGCAGAGAAGTTACCTTCAAATCTTTCCCATGCTATGGGTTGAAATGCATCTTAGAAAATGAAGTAAAGACCTCAAAAATAGTCTCTGGGAGCTCATCCATGTGTGACTGGACAAAAGAAAGGCATCATGTTATCCTTACCTTCTGTGACAATGTTAGCAGAGTTAAAGCATGCAGACATAATCCTATATAACCCTCACATGAGTCATCATTCATTCTTTCTATAGATGACAAAACCAAGGAAAAGTAACATGGTCAAGGTCATCTGGAAGAAACATGAGTCAAACTTACGAAAGCTCTTTCTGCCTCCACACTCTTGGCACTATTCTACACGATTCTTGGCACCTGCCCACAAAATGCCCAACCTTCCTTCTCCCTTAGGCAAACTCAGCTTGCCTGGTTCCAGGAGACTGATCTTAGAGTAGCAAGGATTCTCCAGCTTGCCTGGATTGAACACAGTGAATCTCAGATCACAACCACTGACCACCTGTACCTTAACGGTGGGTCCCAGATATACTTTACAAGAATAAAGAACCCACTGCCAAATCTCTGGTCAATTAGCTCTCCCATCCCATATAACTGAACCTTCTCACTCTATCCCTCTGGAATCTCAAACAAGGGCCTCAAATGACATCTGCTTTCCTTGGGCAGCATCCTACCTCCTCTTCATTGATCCAGTTAACATATCTTCAGCTCTCAAGGGGTCTATGCAGAGCTTAAGGAGTTCGATAGGAATGTTCAAAAAGCTGTAGGACTTAGAGAAGTACCAAGAATGACAATCAGCACTGGAAAGCCTGTGGCAGCTGAGAGGTGGGGCAAGGTGTATTCCCACCCTGCAGTCTCTACACCACACCCTGAGCGCTCAACAGGAGCAGAGAAGACAAAGAAATCCAGAATCTTGAACTCAGTGAGGTCCCAGGGAGAATGCCTCTTCACTCCCCTGAACCCACTCTCACCTGTTCACAAATAGCTCCTGTCCACATGACTGGGAAGGGCTTCATGTACTTCAATAAGGAACTCTCAAATCTCGGGAGAAGATCATTTACCTCCTCTTTAAATGGCTCTGGTTCTGGGATGATCCTGCGAGGGAGGCTGACCCATGGCCCGAGTCAACTCCATTTTCTAAAGGTCTCTTTTTAAAATATAAATCCATCATGTCGTTGCTCTGCTCAGTCCTTCCAATGGCTCACCCAGAACTCTGACTATATCTGAATTCTCTCCCTTCACTCCCTCTGCCCCAGCCCACTGGCCAACTCATTGTTCCTTGAACATAACAGACACCCTCCCGTCTCAGGGCCTCTGAGCCGGTCGTTCCTTCTGCCTTAGCATTCCCTCTGCCCTAAAATTGGCACGACTCACTCCCTCTTGCACATCTGTGCACATCTTTGTTCAGATCTTCTAAGTGGGGTCTTCCCCACCAACCTTCCTTAAAACCGCAGCCTCCCCACCTGTCCAGCACATCCAAGGCTCCTTCCTTGCTGTATTTTTTTCTATTTTGTTGATTACATTTATTGTCTGACTTCCTCCCCTAGAATCCAACTCCTTAGAAGGGCAAGATGAAACTTTCCTGTCTTTTGTTCACTACTGTTATCTCAGGCACATAGTAGGCACTCAATAAAACAATTGTTGGATGAATGAATGGGTGAGAAGATGCCAGAACAATGCCTCTTCACTCCGCTGAGTCCATGCTTACCTGTTCACAAATAGCTCCTGTCATGGTGACTGGGAAAGGCCTGACATTCCCACGGCCCAAGTTTTCACGTTTCCTCTGGCTGCTGAAAAGCTTCAGCTCCCTCTTCTCTTCCTCATCCAGGGAGTTACAGTATCGAACCTGAACAGACACAGACAATAGCATGGAAGAAATCACCCTTGCTCCTTAAGATTCCCGAAGACCATGACTCTTGAGTTTTCTCATTAAACACACTCTCATTTGGTTTTATAGCCCTTGCCTGAACTTTAACCACAACAGCCTTGGAGAGATTTAAGGTGAGTCTCTGCTAAGATTGCTGACAGCCGAAAGAGTTTACCAAAGGCTCTGAATTCTGGATCCCAAGCCTTGGGCAGGCTAAAGGTTCTGTGACTGCTCCTTATCATGGCTGCCTCACTCTGCTCACCATATTAAGATCAAATCATCTGGGGTGGCTCAGCTGCTAGGAGAGAACTGAGAAGTTCTCCTTCTTTCAAACTGCAGGAAACTGATACTTTCATCTCCATGTGCCCATGCAAGTGATGCTTGACATCAAGAATGACTCTAAGTTGATGAGCCAGAGCAGGTGTCCATGTGCTCACAGCTTCTGTTCTCCCATCTCATTTTGGAAAAATAGGGAACAAAGGTGTGAGTCTGAGGAGTTGGTCCAGGCATCTGTGGTGCTGCACAAAAGTCTTTGCATGTTTAGCTCTGTAGAGCGGGGAACAAGCTGCCTGCTAAGCTCCAGTTGAGTCGACTTGCAAGAGACATTTTCCTTCTTGTTAAATATAGAAATTCCCAGAATTAAGGGAGGAACATTAAACATATTTTGAATTCAGTATCTCCCCTTATTTATGCACACCTTGGGAATTGTGCTATGCTATATTCTTGTGCTGTTATTTACTGAATGCTGTTTTTAATACTGACTCAATTTTTTTGGAAACTTGGATGCATTTATTTCAAAAGAAAGTATATTATAACTATAAATGGAAAACCAATATCACCTGTAAAAACAAAACAAAACAAACAAACAAACAAACAAAAAACAGAAGAAACCTAAATAGAATGGGAACAGAACCATGTTGTTACATTCTATCTGGCCACTTTGCTTGTAGGAAATCCTAAAACAGAGATCCCTGATGCTCCTACTTAAAAGTGGAGGCCAGTGTGAGTTAGAGAGATATGAGACACCTGCTAGCACCTAAATCGAAATTTCTTCCTTGATTATTCAACTAGTCTATCACAAGGAATACAATACAATTTAAAAGACAGTAACTCTCTCAATATGTAGTTTCATTTCATTTACTGCCATGTCCACATAACACTCACAGTCATATATATATACCACACTTTGGGAAACATGGTCCTAATCCCGTCTCCTGTCATACTTTGGAGTAATCTGGACCTCAGAAAGGTTAAGTGAATTGCTTGGATGATTTGTTATGCAGATGGTTAGAGGGAAACCTTTGTACTAGGACTGTCACATCCTAATTTGAAAACCAGGACAGCTGCGTATATCAAAATTGTCTTATCTGTGCAAAAAAGAAAATGGTCAAATATTTACTTTAGAATCACAATCACCCTTTGTCTTCAAAAGGGCCATTTCAAATAGGCTAAATCTGCCCACTGGGTCACACACACACAATTCCCACCAACAGGACATTGTAATTTGAATGGTGTCTTTTTTCATAAAAGCACAGTTAACCATAAACACAACAAACCACTACGATCAGAGAAGAGCCAATCGCTTCCCTCTATCAAATAACAAGTGTTTAAAAAAAAAAAAAAAAAAAAAAAAACCTTCATGTAAATGTCCCAGAGAGAACTGCAGTGACCTGAACAGCCCAGAATATATGGTTACACCACTGACATTTTAGGGCCATGCTTTCAAAGGAAGGCACACCCTTCCTGCTTGTAAAAACCCGCATTTTTCACTTCCAAATTAGTTAAGCAGGCATCAGGTTACAAGGCTTGCTCTCAACTTTAAAGGAGAAAGCATTATTTATATTTGTTTTATGATGTCTGAAACAAGCAGCAGTAAAGAGGATTATAGCTCTCTTTCTAGGGAACTGCTTCAGTTTTAAAGTTTTTGTCCTGCTTACTTAAATTTATTTTTGAGGCTCTCAAATTATCCCCTTTCATTCTAATGTGGGGAAATAAGACTGAAAAGCACTCATTTCCTCTGGGACAGAGCTGTTGGGATCCAACTCGTGGGTGGGAGGGCTGGTAGAAAGCTGGTGTCCAGCTCTCTAAAGGGGTTATTTCTCCTATCCATTTAAAATTACATTTTTGTTTTAAATGCAGTCAGAGTCAAGTAGACAGTTCAGTTCCATAGGATTACTATTTTTAAAAACCAGATACCTAAAAATGAATTTCTAGTATGTAAACTGATTTCCCTTCCAGCATAATGATCTTTTAAAATCATGTTTACAAATTTCTCTTTATGAGCGATCAGATTTCAAGGATAAGAGATGCCCATTTACAGTGCCATGTTTCTGGGTTCAGAAAAAAGGACAAGTCTGCTAGTCCACACTTTCAAGAGTACAAAGAACAACCTCGGCAAGTCAGACTTCACCATGACAAAAACACAGATGTTCAGAGCTACAATTCTGGACACATAACTTCTCCTGCAGTGTAGTGTGGAAAATTTGCACACTCATTTAATATGAAAAGATGCTGAAAATTCAAGAGAGTCACAGAGTTTCTGCAGGGCTTGAAGTGGTCCAGGGGATCTCAATCATCTCTCCAACATACACAGGCAACCCACGTGGCATACTCTTCAAGTAAGAAAACTTGGAATCATAGCTTTTGAATTTTGGTGCTCCCAGGTTACCCCCAAATAGCTAGTAGTGCCAGGCATAGAGGCCAATCCAGTTTATAATGAGTTTCCGCTTTTTTAGTAATACTCTCTAGAAGTAAATTGTTGGCCAGTTTATTTTGGCTGTAATTAAGGAAGCTAAAACCTAAAATAAACGGCCAGAGTTCTTCTTTGGCCATCTCATTGGTGGCAGATTATGAAAAAGGTAACAATTCACAGAAGGAACTAAGAAAATTCTGCATAGGCCCCCTCTAGCCCCTTACCTCATTGTCATGTGGTGGCAGCTGATGTAGTAGCTGCTTGATTCGCAGTTTCTCTCCAGGACTGTTGACATAAGGGACTTTCTCTTCTGGGAGACAGCTATAGTACTGGTGTACCTGAAGGACAGAAAGCATATAGATGACTTGCCGGTTACTCAAACCACATGCCTATTCCCACTTACTGGGAAGATGACTCCCCCAGCAGGATGTAACTGACTTTCACAGTCCTGAACCTTTATGAAAGTCAACAGCAGACGAGTTTCCTATAGTAAGCAGAGAAATTCATCCTTAAAGCAAGAGTCAGGCAAATCATCCATATCTGGGATTTTCCCCTCTCTTTGTGAGGGAAAAACAAAGCCATTAAATTTTCCTAGAAACAGAGAATTCAGCAGACATGCTGGTGAACCAGAGGGTAGGGCTTTCTCGGCAGACTCCCCTGAGAGCTGGCTTTACCATTTTCTCTGTTAGTCTCCAGCATGTGACGTGCCTCCCTAGCCAAAGGGATATGTCAGCACCTGCCTCAGCAATGGAGTTAAAGCCAGTCTTTGGCACTTGGCAAACCCCTAGGTACCTCAGCCTCCACCTACATGTAAAGCCCTCCAGGTTTCGAGACTTGTGTAAGGCAGGCAGCAGCTGACATCCATCAGAAATAGACTCACTAAATCTGGGATGCAGAGCGTGTAATTAAAAATTGTCATTAACATGAGGATTTTTGCACATCCTAGAACATTCTTGTTTACGACTGTTAGGACATATTCTTGTACTTTATGAGGCTCATTCAACCCTAACAACAACTGGGGAAAGCACCAAGCAGCTAATTTTGCCTGAGAAAAGAAAACAGACATTTCACCATTCAGCCACATGCAAAACTAGAGAAAGAAAAAATTGGCTAATACAGAAGGTATGTTATTACATAGGAGAGGCAAAAAAAAAAAAAAAAAAAAAATCCCACAAGCTCAGATGACATCATGGAAAACACTCTCAAGTATCTCTTATTTAACAGCATGACCACCTCTTGCGAAACAAGGCATTCATTCAACAAACGGACAAGATGGAAGACTGGGGGCTCTGAAAGTCATCATTTGGCCGGGCATGGTGGCTCATACCTGTAATCCCAGCACCTTGGGAGGCTGAGGTGGGCGGTTCACCTGAGGTCAGGAGTTTGAGACCAGCCTGACCAACATGGTAAAACCCCGTCCCTACTAAAAGTACAAAAATTAGCCCGGTCTGGTGGCGCATGCCGGTAATCCCAGTTACTCAGGAGACTAAGGCAGGAGAATTGCTTGAACACGCCATAGCCTGGGTGACAGAGCAAGACTCTGTCTCAAAAAAAAAAATTTTTTTTTTTTTGTTACATTCTACAAACTTGGTCTAAACTTGGTCTAATTCCTTTGCATTGAGGGAGCTGTGGGTATGAACACATGTTTTGGGAATGCTGGGGTGAAGAGTTGCGAAAGCTCTGTCTACTTTGATCTCCAGAAACTAAGTCATAAATGTTAGAAGAGGGGGTGAAAAGGCTTTGTAATGACAAGGCCTTAAAAAATGTGAAAGCTATCTTTATTTTCATAACTAATGATGGTAACCATTCACTATCATGTGCCTATCATCCTTTTAATCAAATCCCAGAGGCAATTACAAAAAGAATTCTTATCCCAGACTAGCTAGATTTCCAAAGGCAGGGTCTGTATAAGCCCCTTCCTATAGGCAGCTGGCAGAGAGCTATGCCCAGGGACAGGAATGAATGGCGCCGGGTTCTGAAGACAGCTCACTATTGACCAGTACTCTGAGAAAAAGTAAAAACCCAGATCACTAGCTTGGGATTAGAAGCTGGCAATTTGCCTATTAGAGACTTGCACAGCGTTCCATCCTCAAAAGGGTCCCTGTGCCATATGCCTCATCAGACAAAGGCCAGGTATAAAAAAGCAGGCCCAGTCTCATGTCTTGGGGAATGGGCTTTGACTCCCAAATCAGAAGATTGCTTGTAGAAAGGCCTTGTTCCATCATTACTTTGTCATTCACACAACTCCCATTGTCCTTGTGGAACATTAGGGACAATTGCTAATATGAGATGAATTACTATGGATGCTTGAAAATGCAGAGTCTAGTTGCAGTTCCATTGACCCTCCTTTTAATCACCTCTAATTACTCACACACCCCCTGTCCATTGCCTAGAGCACAGTCAGGCCTGAGAGCCCTTCTGAACTGGTACTTTGAACCAAGCCCTTTCTGATACTGTCTAAGGTTGGCCCAAGTTGGAATCTTTCCTGCACCCTCTAGGGCATAGCCGGTAGATCTGGACCCGAGTCAAGGCTCTGTTGTTTCCCATCTCTGGGTTCCTGAGCAAGTTATGTGACTGTTCAAAATACCCATCATAAGACTGAGATGATTAAATGAGAGTGTAGGCACAAGCATGTGGCTCTCAATAAAAATAAATAACATGAATACATGATGATAGTTATACTATCAAGCCTGGCCCACTCTAAATGGAACAATGCAGATGCTTCCTGGACTAGGTCTTACTCTGCCACCCAGGCTGGAGTGCAGTGGCGTGATCATGGTCACTGTAACCTTGACCTCCTGGGCTTAAGCACTCTTCCCACCTCAGAGTAGCAGGAACTACTAGCGCATGCCACCATGCCTGGCTAATTTTTAAAATTTTTTGTAGAGACAGGGTCTTGCTATGTTGACCAGGCTGGTCTTGAACTCCTGGGCTCAAGCTATTCTCCTGCCTTGGCCTTCCAAAGTGCTGGGATTACAGGTGTGAGCCACTGCATCAGGCCAGCTTTGGAATGTGCAGCAACACTGCTGGCTTACAGAGTGAGACCAAACCCTGAAGCCACTTACATTAGTAAAAGCAAGAAAAATAGGTTGCAAGGGATACAATGGTATTAAAACTAGTTTGACTTCAGGGGAAAAATGGCAAAGTGTTATAAAGGGGTGTGTGTGTGTGTGTGTGTGTGTGTATGTGTGTGTTTTTTCAGAAATTTAGCCACGTATATAAAAGGGTCTCATGAGGAAACAGAATATGCAACCGGAAGGTGACTGTACCAAGTTTCTATTCTCTCTGAGCCCAGTGTCCTCTTACCTCTGCTCTCTTCTCTTCCTGCGGATCTGCTTCTCATCTTCTTAAAGGTTCAGGTTTCCCATGGCACTTGAGTTTGCACAGCATCAGTTCAAGAGCCTGTCCTAGAGTGACTCACTTTTCTTAATTCCAAATTCCCCAGAGGAGGACCCTGACTACCCCGTCTTGGGCAGGGTCCACACCCAGAAATGAGATTAAAAACATTGGATACTTTGAAGACTGGAGAATAAATGAATCCCAACATGACATGACTGAGTAAAGGTGCAGTCAGCAGTGATGGAGGACTCTGGAGAAACTTAGGAGTAAATAAGTCCCTTGGTATGCTGAGATCCATCCTCAAGACTGAATTCTGAAGTCAACAGAGGCAGTGACTACTCTTTAGGAACACAGCTCTATCTTTCCTGGACATCTTTTGTCACCTTTTATAATTCAAGCCTACTGATAACCACTCAAAATTATTCCAGTAATTCCTCAAATATAGAATATGCTAGAATATCTTCTCACAAGGCAACTAATAATTTGATGGATGACTTAAGAACTCATCTAGGTAGCAAGATGCCCCATTTCTAAAATAAATCAGTTAATAAATTAACAACCTCCCAAATCACTCCCATATCACATGGTAGGTGATGTGGCTTGCTCTGAGGAAGGAGAATAAGTTAGTCCTTTCAGGACCTCCAATCCTCTTCAAAGTCCATTGAAGCCCAGGTGAAAAACGCATCCCTCTAATGTTAGCTTTGTGTCGCCTCCTGGTGTTTAGATGCTGGACTTCCCACATTTTTCATCAAGCAAAGGGGATTAACAGATGGATAGGAGGGAGGGAGAAACAGCTCTCCTGAATTATCTGGCTGGATACAGGAATGCTGCCTGCATTTTCCTCTGGCATCCTCCACAATAAAACTACTGTATAGCCCAAAACAAACATCAAGTGAACCCAGGGTAATGGGAAAATACTGAGTATACTTTCTGGCACTACAAAAATAAAATTTGGCACAATCCCTGAAAATCCTGCAGATTGTTCATTTTAGTCCAAACATGTTTCACTTGTTCATTTTTTGGAGTAAATAAGCAAATCCAATAGAATTTTGTCAATGATGATCATTACCAAGCTATTACCCATTATGCTGATAACTGTATTTTTCATTCTGTGTGTACTGAGCATATTTATTCAAAAGCACATCTGTTGAATGTGTTAGAGACTTTGCTCCATTGAGACATTCCCAGATAAAGGTGTCCTGTGATTCCACCCTGGGTGAAATCATACTAGGTAACTTTCCCCTAAACAAAAGCATTTTGAACACAATACACTGGCTTATGAAAATGAAATAGCTGAAGGCCTTTATTTAAGGTGTGACTCTGCAACAGGAAAGGTTTGGCAGCAACTTCAGTGTGTGTCATACAGATCGCAAGTGCTTTAGTTAGTGCGCAAATCAAGTCTACAAAGCAAAGCCTCGCCCAGCTGGAAAGATGAGGTTTGTTGGAAAGAACTGCACGTTTGATAGCATTTCTGCCTGGGCAGAAAGGTGGAGGCTGGAGAAGCAATGACTCTGCATTTGGGAGAAAAGTGTACTAAAAGTAAGCCTTTTTTTTTTTTTTTTTTTTTAAGAAGTGTGCAAAGCACTTTATTTAGAGCACTGGTTCTCAAACTATAGCTTGCATCAGAATCACCTGGAAGGCTTGTTAAAACACAGCTTTCTAATTTAGTAGGCCTGCGGTGGGGACATTTGCATTTCTGACTCCTCTTCAGGTCCTGCTGTTAGTCCAGGGACTTGTGAGTTTTAGTGCTTTCTACTGTTTTCCCTCACCAACCAATCTTATGCAGTTGTCAGGCAAATGGTAGGATTCCCATTTTCTTCAAGAGATCTAGAAGGCCCAGAAAAGGGAAGAGAACTTGTTGGATCTCACCCAATTTTTCAGGTGTCTCCTTCCACATCTAGATATATGATTCAGCAGGGGATTCCACCAGCTCTGGCAAGAACAAGAAATCCTAAGGGCAAAGTGCTCACATTTTTGGGTGGCAACATTTTCCTTATCA